AGAAGTCCTCTGGTCTACCCTTCTTTAGGACCACCTCTATACTTTTGCCCTTCTCAAATCTCTTCTGAGCCTCAGCATTCTTCCGTTCCATCCAAGTCTTCCCCCTGGTCATCATTCTCCCTGGTGTTTCTTCCACTATCTCTTCTTCTTCATCCTCATCTTCCACCATATCCACGCCTTCCTTCACTCCATTCCCAGGCACCTGCTCAACTCTCCCTAGTCCTGGCTGCATGTCCGTATCCTCTTCATCTACATACACGTCTTCCAACCTAAAAAACTTCTTTACCCTGTTTGGCGTGTAAGAAGCTCGCAATGGCACCCCATCCAGTGTCTCCAGGAAGTAGCAAGTGTTGCCTGGTTCGACCTTCCTCACTCTGAAAGGGCCGTCCCAGCGGTACTGTAGCTTCCTTACCACACTCATATCCAACTTTCTATCCATTTTATACACCAACACCAAGTCCCCCCTTCTGATCATGCTATTCTCAGGCCTAATGCTGCGAATCCCTTTTCTGTTCTTTCTTGCCGCGGCTTTCTGTCTTGCCATGCCAACCCTCTCAGCCACCAGAGTCAGATTCATCTCCTGGGATTTCAATAGTCTCGCCCTTGCCTCTATTAAATCCATAGTCGCTCTCTCCTTCCAGTGTCTCCCTGATCTGTCGAAGCCAATCTTTTCCCACTGGACGACTCTCCATGACGGTACGTCCTTTTCGATCGGCGTAATGGGGTTAAACCCATGTGCCAGATAGAAAGCACTGTACCCATGAATACCTCGTGTCGTGGTCCTATCAGCAAACAACACATAAGGGAGCCACTGCTTCCACTTCTTCCCCGTCCCATCCGTCATTTTTGCCAGCATCGATGCAATTGGGATGTGACCCAGACTCCGTCACTCCATTTGCTCTTGCGTTGTAAGGTGAGACCACCACCCGAAGAACTCCTAGCCTCTCTAAAATCTCAGCAGCTTCCTTCCTAAATTCTGATCCGCCGTCCACCACCACGATCAGAGGGT